ACAGATGTGGACAAGAGCCACGAGAAGAAAAGCATACGTAAAACATACCAAAGTGGAGACGAAAAGCCCGAGAAGTTAAAATATAAGAAACAGATGTGGACGAGAGCCACGAGAAGAAAAGCATACAACTTCTAAATAAACGTTAAAGTGCTCGATGGCCTCCCAAATTTACAACTGCTGCGAAGAACCGAATAATTTCCAGATCCGTGCCTGGAAAACGCCGTAAATCTAATAGGACGACCAAACACATCCAATATTCACAGATATCTGAAGCAAAGTCATTATCTACACACACGTTACGTCGAATTAATAATTACTCGTAAAAGAACCTACTTCCAAACCTTTTACAGCAACCCGTCTTCCGCGAGTTCCGCTCAAATTGTAATAACAAATGAGACTTGGCGTTTATATTCGACTTCGCGTTATTCATCGGGTTCTTCGTAAAATTATCATATATGACAGTCGTGGGTGGCTGACTCACCTGTTTCGTTTCGCTGTCTTATGTAATTGTTATCGATTTATATAACCGAAGTAACACGCCTTTCGCTCGGCGATCGATTAAAAGACACACACCGTCTGCGTTTCCTATCTCGTTACGAAATAATAACGACTACGGCCGCGTCGTCCCGTTTCACGCTGATAAAAAGATGATTTTATTTCGCAGGTGAACGCAAGTTGCCCGCGTTAGATTCTGAATTTAAGCAGATATGCAAATGCAAGACGCTAATTGGACTTCTTTCGCCACTATTTTACGCCCACAGAGTCGCCCAGGCTCGCCTGTTTGCACTTCGTCCGGCGGTTAGCGACAAATTGACCGTCGAAGAGTTAGTCTGCGTGGCAAGATACGCGGCCATGAATTATTTACACTGCATTACTTTTCAAACTTCGCGATACTTAAGGCGCTCCGTAGAAAATTCCGTTGTGCTGCATGCGAGTAAGCGTGTACGAATTATTTACGACGTGCAATTAACTTTGGTGTAACGCGAAGTTCTAAGAATAGTCGGAAAAGTAATTATTTCCGACGAAATTTGAATTTTTTGCGCGAGTTTGGAATATTAGGAACACGATTTCGCGAATATTAGGTCAGCCCGTAAGTTCGTGTCGAATTTGATAATTTAGATCGAAATTTTCAACGAACCTTTGAATTTGTAAACGACTTATTCCGTCATTTTTTTCCTATTTCTTCTTTTCTTTTTTGGCAAGACTATTATGTCGTCGCTATAGAATTTCCTTGGATTTTCGTTCAAATATTTTTCGCCTTCGCCACGAACTTATGGGACGACCTAATAATTCTTAGAATTTATCTTCTAATCTTTGTTATTATAAAGAAGCTTGAAAATCAAATCACAGTGTTATAAAAATGCATATAATACAATTATTTCAACGATATCCAGCTTCACCCCGTAAATTTGCATCTCTTCGTAAAATTGTTATTCCCAGGATTTTCTTTCTTTTTGTCAAAATTTACTGTAAGCTATCGTTTAAAGGAAATATTGCTTTAATAAACTACATTCTCAATTTTTGTTTAATGACATTAACTTCAGAGTTGTGCCATTTGATCCTTAAGGTCCCAGCGTTGCCCTAAGTACTGAAATATTGATTAAAAAATATTTTAATAGAAGCAATACGTTTGTAATGTCATGTAAAAAATTAGCAACTTTTTACTGTGCAGCCTACTGTGATTTGAAGGTACTCCACATGGTGGTGATAGTGAAATAAAAATTCTGGCTCGTCTCTGAGACCGGTAACATGTAGCTAAGACTAAGTACATTAAGTACACCTGGTATGTCGCCTCGATATTGCTCTTGTAATCAAGGTAGCAGAAGAGACACGCCATATTTTCCAAACATCACCCCTTGTAGCGTTCATAACTTTTGATAGATGTGTTTAATTTAAAGCGTTATGCTTATTTAAAGCTTTACATGCAAGCATTAATAAATACACAAATCTTTGCATAAAAGCAATAACGAACACAAATTCACTGAAAATACGTCAATGCTTCAAATTAAACATATCTATCAAAAGTTACAAACGCCATGTTACGCACTTAAAATTACGCCGCAATACTGAAATGAAATATACATGTAAAGCAGGCACGGGCAACCTTTCCTGGTTCTAGGGCCATGTTGCGTCGTGGGCTTTGATCGCGAACGAGCATACACAGACCGAAGGGAAACGAATTCGAATCATACTCGCGTATCCGTCACAATTTCAATATCAAAGCCTTTAATTCGCTACTTTCTCCGGCGTTTTCAAATATCTAAGCTCTTAATTCAGCATCAGAGGCGCGCTTCGACGCACCTCCTCGACTATAATCCACAGGGCGACGATTCCCTTGGCCCGACTTTATTTTCAATCATTTCCGGTGCCACGAAAGGCTACGGTAATATCATCGGGACGCCGTTCGAGCACGTCATATCGCTTTCTCCGTGAAGTTTATTTGAATTCACGCACGCCCCGATGGTTTATTCGCACGAGCGACGCCCTCTTATCCCTATTTCTGCAGTTTTCATCTCGCGAAAATGCAATCTTCAGAGTCACGTCGCGCGTTATTCGATCTCTTTTTCGAGGAGGGAGGACCAGGGAAAACGAAGTCGAGGCACGAAGAACGCCAGCCTTTGTGGAGCGGACCGTGTCGCGTCGAATCGGCTTTCCGCGCCTCTGACGATCGAAATCGCGGAAACCGGGCCATCGCTGATCTCCCGTGAATTGCGCCCGATACATTGTTCCCGAAATTTCGTCCAACTCACTCGGGGCTACTACCTTGTGTCCGATATCGTAGCCGCGCACACGCGATAACGCTATGCCGGAGGAAGCTGCAGGATGTGCATGGTTCGACGCTTCGATGCTTTCTGATAGAGGTTCTTAGCTCGGCCGTCTTTAGGATGACATCTCGTGCGGAATGCAATCGACGGTGGTTATTGTAGTTCTTCCCGGGAGTTTCCGCGATATTTTTCCGAGACTCGTGAAATTTTTACGGCTACTGCATTCGTATTCTAGATGAGAATGGAGCTTATTGTTCGATGGGCAGTAATTGTGCAGGGTGGATCGAGGAAACTGTTAGAAGGTGCTTGGAAAGAAGATGCTGTTAATTCCAGCGGTTTGTGCAATTAGGACTGTGGCGGGTACGTTGTCGTCGACAAACCCTTACCGAACCTCGTCCTATTCTTCCACGCGAACTTTTTCTTTTCCAACTCCTTCAGATTTTAGTTTCCGTCCTTTCGTCTCTCCCCGGGTTAAGACTTGCCTTCGTTCTCGAGTGCCCTAAGAAGCGCACATGTGGCATCCAGGTTCGCACGAGGACGAACGAATTTTCCGTTTCCACCACTTTCTCCACTTCTATCTTTATCTATCGCTACTCCTGTCTCCCAGTCCTAACAATATAAAAACCCAGTACGCCTACACCTCCGGACAGTTTTTCCTTTACCGACCATCGCGACGTACCCGCCGAACCGCTGCCGCCGGGACAATTAACAAAGTAAACGATTGTATTTTCTGGACCAATTGTACGCCGACCATACACTTATACTTTAATAAATTGAGGTGAAAACAGTGTAACGACGTTCCTCACCCACCTCAGTACGATACCCATAGTTTTATATATTTAAACATCCATGTAAATATTTAATAATCACAATTTTGTAATTTACAAATTTAAATTACGTTATTCCGTACCGAAAATCACAGGAAAGAAAAAGCATCAGAGATAAATTGTTTTAAATAGATAATGTAGAAATACAATATTCGATAAATTGTGTAATTTTCTTGCCAGAAATCTGTGATAACGTAATCCATTAACGTAAAAAAGACCACGAAATTATTACAAAAACTTAAAGTACCCCGCAAAAGATAAAGAATCTGATAATTAGTACTTTCAGCGTAACACCATTCCAGTATCTCGTCGTTATTCGTGCAAATAACATTACAGTACAACCTATTATCAACATCGTTAATTTAGTATTCGGCTAATTGAAATAGCAAAAATGAAAATTCTTTCGGTAACCTTCAAATGTTCGTTACGAAAACGAGAGTCATCGGGAAATGCACATATTGTCGGGGCCACGATATAGCGAGGTCGTAAAATCGGTCAGACGTCAAAGTAAACATGTTTTAGCTGCCGGGACCCGAAAATTGACAGAGATACGAGCAGATAAGTACTTGAAACCATTGTCAGGACCGTACGAAGAATTCTTGTATCCAGCGAAAGTCAACTGATTCTAATATACTTACTGAAAACTGTATGCAGCTAGGACAAATTAGGGTTTCTCCCTCTGGGGGAAGCCGCTTTTGGAAGTACGGTTACAGGTAAAGGTCTTATTGATGTCTTTAGCATCTTAGTTTATCTACTCGTGTTATATACAGATAGAAAGTGCAAAAAGATTGTGTAGCTTAATATTAACATATTTTCCATTTGTAAATGAAATACCATTTTCTACTTGAAGTACCAAATCATATGCTACCATTCGTTTATTGTTGGAACCCTCAAACAGACTGCAACACACGGCTTTGAGTGCCGCAACATCAATCGGTGCCGATTCTTGAGAGTTTAATTTACGACCTCGCTATATCGTGGCCCCAACTATATACTTCATTTGAAACTTTCTTTCTCTTTAACCTTTTAGGTACGGCGCGCTCGTCCGCAACTGGGTACCCCTGGGACGGCGCGCCTGGCTGTGGATGGCACAAAAGCCGTTCGTGACGATTCTGTGACACGTGTACTCTTCAACGACAGCTTCGATATTGCCAGGAAATGTGGTTTAGGCGAAACAAATGCGAAATAAAGCAAAAAACGTATAATATCGTCGAAAATCATGATATCCACGAAAGTCACTATAGTGTCGTACCGTCCAAATTGGTGCTATCCACGAAACCCACTATAGTGGCGTTCCGTAAAAATAGAGGATCTCGACGGAACGCTACTATAATGGCGTACCGTTCCAATTGATGCCATCCGCGGAAGCCACTATAGTGGCGTACCGTATCTAAAAGGTTCACTACGACTATTTAGTCGGATAGCCGAACTTGGAAGATCTATTACCAAGACAATCCTTACCTTTCCCGCACGTAGGACCCGTGAAAGGTGTTCCAGTGCAATCACAGTGAAATCTGTTCCAGCCTTCGAGACAATGACCACCGTGCATGCAGGGTTGTGAAGGACAGTGGGGCGGTTGAGAATGACAAGCTGGCCTGACAGCACCTGCAAAATTGTCCAGAGAAACGAAATTACAGAGGCAGTGATAAGTGCTGCCAGTTCAAGTCTCCCGTTTCGTTGAAACGGAATTGGTTTTCTTTTTTTTTTTTTTTTAATTCCTTACTGTCGTGGGAAAACGAACAAGAGAAGCATTGCTACGTCACTTTTACGATTCAACGAGAGGATAATGGTTATTCGTTTTTAAAAAATTTCTTGGTCTCATGGAGAAATGGTCAAAAGAAGCATTGCTGTATCACTGTTATGATTCAACAGGAGGATAATTAGGATCGCATTTATCACAAGGCGCAAGCTGTGGCCTCACTCTCTAGGGGCCAAATTTTTAAACCCTATTTATCGCATATAACAGTATAAAAAACAGCATTGTTATAGTTCCAATTTTTTTTCCAAAATAAAATACCTAATTTTAAATATTACAATATTAAAATATTACTTTTAAGTAGAATCAAAATAGTAAAATATTATTTTCAAATATTAAAAAATGTGTATGAATAAACTTGTTCTTTCGAGGCCTCGTAATGGAGTTGCCTATCAGAAGGGTCTCAGAAAGTAAATGCGACCCTGAGGATAATTGTTGTATCGTGTATGTAGAGCGTTAGATAATATGTATAAGGATTAGTAGGAAAGGTTAGAAGGGAACTAGAAAAATTTCTTTTCTAATTGAATTTTTGAAACTGCTAAAGTGATATGTAGCAAGTAGGCAGTACTATTTTGTTTCTATCATGTCTGAATAGATTATGTGAAACAGATCGTTAATTAATTATTATTTTTCATATGAATATTAATTATAATATATCCTCTCGTTTCAGAAGTTAATATTTAAAAAATACTATTTAGCAATAATTCTGGGACAAGAACGCGATGAAATTCTTAAAAATTATGAATTCTGAAAGATTAATTTAAACATTGAAATGTTTCATATCTTTGTTATCAATAAATTGGAGTGTTTGAATATTTATGTTTAAATTATTATTTTTTTCATAAATAGTGATTATTAATGGACCATTTGAATTCTTACATTACTCAACAAACTCTGACTTCAATGCTTTCTGAAAGTATTCTTTCGTTAATTTAGTTGCAATTTTATTTTAATTCGCATTACCTTTGAAATTAAAGAGCGTAAGAATATATATTTAGTGAAACTGTAATACGTAATTTTCAAATAAAGATATTTGTAAAAAGAATTAATTTAAACATTAAAATTCTTCGTATCTTCATTAACGATCAATACGAGTATTTGAATATTCAAGAATTTGGTCGAATTCTTCTTATTTTAAAATTATCACTAAAGAATATTTTTTAAATATTAACTTTTGAAACGAGAGGATATATTATGAATAATATTTATGTGAAAATAAGAATGGTTAAAAATACTATTACGTGTTTAAAACTCGTGTGAGAACGCAATTTTGACAGAAGCTGTGGTGTCCGAGTGGTTAAGGAGTCAGACTCGAAATCTGATGGGCTATGCCCGCACAGGTTCGAATCCTGTCCGCAGCGAAATCTTTTTTTATCGCTGAAAAATGATATTTTTAACTTTTTTATTTTCTGTTCTACAATCGTGTCTTCTATTACTTTTATTCTTCGATCTCTGCTTCTTTTTTCGGAAAACAGCATACCAGAAATATTTTGCTTTATAAATTGGGTTAATTAAATTATATATATGCATATATATGCATGTGTTAACTGACGTGTGCTTTATTTGAATATGTAAATTTTCTATTGTTATTTGCCTCAGTATTAAAAGTAACGTATTTAATAACATGTAAGTTAATTCGTAACATCATTTGTTATTAAATTTGCATGTGGAAAAACTTACACCGTAGTAAACACAGTATTTGGTGCGATGCAAAGAACTATGAATTAAGTCAATATTTCACAGCTGTTTTGCAGCTGTTTAGCATAAAACAGAAGTCGTAGAAAATAAGTGGTAAAAATTAAATTAGCCACAAATCATAATTAACATAATTTTACACAGCCTCATCACTCTTTATATATCGAATATTAACCAAATTATTTATAAATTTCAAGTAAAATTTTCCCAATTACTATCATTAGACAATTTTCTTACTGACAATGAGTGGTACGAACGTCCAAATTTAATAACTTTAAAAGCAATATTACAGATTCAACTATTATTATATTTAACAACTTTGCAATGTAACAAAATATATTTATAGATAATACAATTTATAAATTTCTTCTGATAAGTGTATTTCACTCGCTAATAATGAATTCCATTCTAACACAAAAGAAACATTTGGCAAAATTCACTTTTCATAAAATTAATGATTCGAAAGGTGATCAAATTGATTCACCATTTAACAAAACAGAAAATCTGTATTCAAGTTTTGCCACAGAATGTGGAACATTTTCTTACCGGAGTCTTGCTGCTGAGCGTATCCCGCTATATCGATTGGTAGCCCGTTTATGACAAGATCCCGCATACAGCCGACATAACCTTGCCTCAAGGCACCTGTCCACAGTACTGGAGGAACAGTTAGGGGTGCAAATGGAGCTCCTACACCACCGATGTACAATAATCCATCCAGGTCTAGCTGCGTGGAATCACCTGGAACATGGAATATTATCTTGTTACTAAAATAATTGAACAAAACATTATAATTACAGGTCCCGTTCATAAGTATTAGAACACTCACTGAAATAGTGCTAGGTCATCCTGAAAGTTACCCTGTTTTTAAGCTTTAATTTTAAAAAACACATAAATCCACTAAAATTGAACACTTTTATTGAAAATAATTTCCACCATGTTCGATACACTTTTGCTGAGGTATTACCTAACATAAAAATCCGAAAGAGAAACTTTCAGCAGTTTCTTTCTCTTAGAGATTCAAATTTTTAGGTTAGGTAATACCTCAGCAAAAGTGTATCGAACATCATGGAAATTGTTTTCAATAAAAATATTTCATTTCAGTGGGGTTATGTTTTTTTTTTTTCAAAATGGATGGCTTAAAACCGCGGGAAATTTCAGGATGACCTGATAAGTAAAAAATTATTAAAATCGTGAAAAAATATTCGGTCTGAAATTTCATAGTATAACGAGTATACATTTTTGCTGATATATACTCAATTTTGGGAAGAAATGCAACTTAAATCGTATAATACGATGAGTGTTCTAATACTCAGGAACGTCAGTGTATATTCCAGACAATGTAAATCAGTTAAAAAAATAATGAAGAGGAAGAAATATCAGTGATCATTTATTAGGAGTTGTAGAGGAGCACGGTTTATAGCCTACCATTAATAAAGGAATTAGCTTGCCCTTTTCAAGGACTTCAGTTTATAAGGGAGAGCCCCCGAGTCTATTTAAATCGTTAATTTCAATAAAACTTAAGTATAACGTGGTTTTCGAAAAAATATTTCATGTGTACCATTTTTACCTCCTGATTTCTAAGTTTAGGGATTGAAAATAGTTCTCAAATTTGGGGTTGATAATTTTATTTCTTCAATATCTCGAAAACTATTGAATTTAGAGAAATGGGCCAAATATACGAAACGTGTGCTTTTTAATAAGAAATCTGACTATGTGAATAGTTTTTGAAAATATCTATTTGTTTAAATGATATACTACAAATTACTGCTTTCGTGTTAATTATTATTGCAAAACGTTGATTCATATTTATGTAAAATTGCATGTATGAAGTGCAGGCGAAAATATAGAGAGTGGATAAATTCGAATTTTGATTTTCGATGTTATATTACAAAAATTTTTGCATTTGCAATTTTCTTACATTCTCAGAGGAATGGAGCTCTTGAGCATGGTCGTAAATATTGTGAAAATTTCACTTAAGAGCCCTCGTTAGAAGTACACGAATCAAAATTAATTATTTAAATAAATTAACTTTCTTTCATAACTTCTGAATATTTTTAATTTTTAATTTCCTGCAATGTTTTGCAAAAACATATGTTAGTTTTATTGTCTCTTTGTTGCCTTCGTTATATTTATTTTTTACAATGCAGGTTGAAAAGGAATTTAATTATCAAAAATTTCTTCTGTATTTAGAAATTTTGTTTCAGCGACCTTTTCGAGAATTCTGTTTTTACGAAAATCTGCTATTCGTGTTTCGTTTGAACCGGTTAAATCGCAGTTTTATTTCGCTTTCGTCCATACTTCTGCGTTTCATCAGACCTATCTATGGATTCTAAAAATTTCGTTTGTTTTAGTAATCGATTCATTTTTCTCGGACGAGAAAGACGTCTCACGCTTCGAAGCGAATTTTACCTAATTACTTAAAACTTGGTGGTTTCAATAAAGTTCTTCGCTCCATCCATTTAAAATTTTGTTTTATTCAATCACTTGAAATTCCGTGGCTTCAATACGTATTTCACGAGTACATCGAACACTCGAAGTACTATTTTACTCCATCACTTAAAACTTCGTAGTTTCGGTACGTTTTTCAGAAGTACTATATTGGCCATTTGAAATCTAATTTCACTTGAAATTTCTCGGTACCGCTTATTTCTCGGGAACCGACTAATATTCTACGCTGCTTTTCGAGAACGGTAATTAAAAATCAGAATTCTGTGGGTTGATTGCAAGAATATCACTTGAAAATCCAACAGAGAAATTTAAGGTAGCTCAAGTCGTATCGATAAGTCGGCAAAAAGATTTAACAAATGCGACAACTAATCAGAATCTATTGAAATCTAATTTTGAAGATTTATGGTCGAACACAAGAACTTGCCGTTTTGACTCTTTTGCTGCGGCAAAATCTTCTGCCTTGGCATTTAAAAATTGAAATTAGAAATTGAAATTTAAAAAGTAAAATTCAAAAATAAAAATTAGAAATTAAAATTTAAAAATTAAAATTAGAAATTAAATTTAA